ATACATTTAAAGTACTAAGTTCAATTATTGCAGAAAATATTAACTACAATTGCATTCTCTCTCTACAGCTGCAATTATCTGCCTTATTTTATTGTTTCTTCAAATTTTTAAAATACAATTATAGGCACTCTCTGTGCACTTATTTCGTAAATTAAAAATCACAACAAAGTAGAAACAAATGTGGCTATGCACAAATATATCCACTTTAGTCCTCACATCCCTTAAAACAATATACTTAAAGAGAGAAAAAAAGGTTATGCGGCTGCTTGCACCTCTGTCCCCTTTCTGGTCTCCTCAGCTGTTTGGCCTCATACCTTTACTTGACTCAGGGTGGAACTTTGCAATTCTCCCACTCTTAGACCTGGACCAGGACACAATTACCCTTCAAAAACCAGTGATATGCAGTGACCAACAACCTTCTTAAAGTATTTTTTATTTAGCAGTAGGAACAAAGCTTTAGAGAAAAATGATTTTAAAAAGAACAGTCTACACGCATGTCTATCTTAACTAAATTCCCACCATTTCACAATGGCGACCTATGTAAGCCTTCTCCAGACACCCCAGCAGGTTCCTGTGTCTGAGGCTAGTTTAAGTCTGGTTACTTGCTTAGGTCTCCTTTTTAAAACAGTCCTTTTTAAAACCTTCTAGAGTTCTTTGTTCTCCTGTGCCTGGAAAGTCTGAGCCATTCCTGTTAAAACCAGTTTCACAGGCTGGCCATAGGCCAGAGACAGAATAATTAAGTCCAATAGTTTTGGCATTGTCCCTTACCAACTCTTAAGTGTTTGCTGATAAATGGCTATACTGAGCGATTCTTCTCCTTCTGACCTATATTGCAAACTACTCAATTGAGTTAAACCAATTTTGTCATACAGCAAACACTATCCCAACAACCAGGCCAATACAGAACGTAACTTATTATGGGGCACCCCCAGAAATTTCACAATGAGCTTTACAGTATGCCCAAAGGTTAACAAGTTTGGGCTCTGGCAAACCAGGGAGGAGGGTGAAGCAACTTAAAAAAAATTCAAATTACCACAGAAATTTTTTTCCCAGTAGCTCTCTCTCATTATATTGAGAGAACTCCAGATCCACTGCTTCTGCTAATCTCAACTGTGGCAGTATACCATGGCATGAATCACTCAGCTAATCAGGTACCCATACATTTAAGGCTTTATAGTTATAATCAACACTTTGAATTCCACCCAGAAGCTTACTGGAATCAGTGCAGATCACACAGCACTGGTCTAAAGTGCTCCCAAAGTGTAACTCCACTTAATAAGCAGACTGCAGCATTCACACTACCTTCAGCCAGGGGCGGCTCTACCTTTACTGCCGCCCCAAGCACGGCAGACAGGCTGCCTTTGGCGGCATGCCTGGAGGAGGTCCACGGTCCCGCGGATTCGGTGGCATGCCTGCGGGAGGTCCGCCAGTCCCGCGGCTTCGGGGTACCCGCCGCCGAATCCATGAGACTGGCGGACCTCCCGCAGGCATGCCGCCGAAGGCTGCCTGACTGCCGCCCTCGCAGGGACCGGCAGGGCGCCCCCCGTGGCTTGCTGCCCCAGGCACGCGCTTGGAGCGCTGGTGCCTGGAGCCGCCGCTGCCTTCAGCTTCCAAACAGTCCTAATGTGTACCCTGTGCACAGTGCACTGCAGCAGTCTAATCTTGAGAGTTAACAAAAGCATGGATAATTGTGTCACCAAGGTCCTCTCTCTCACAAAACATACATAAAATTGCACTCTTTTGATCAGGCACAGATGGAAAATCTCCACTAAGGGACCCAGGCGCATCCCAGGATCTAACAATACCATCATATTGTGCACCTGTTTTACAAACTGCAGTGACGCTCCCTCTGTGAGGGGCACGGGTATGAGGGTGCCCACCAACATAAACTCAATTTTCTCTGGATTGCTTTGCAGCCACCTAGCTCTCATCCATGCCCTAAGTTCATCAAGGCATTAGGCAAGTTGTTCCATTTCTCCAACTAGGTCAGATGCAATGGAGATGTAGAGCTGTGTGTCATCAACCTACTGACTGAATTGCAGCCTATGTCTCTTCACTAACCCTCCTAGTGATCATATACACCTTAATCAAAGAAGTGACAATATCAATCCCTGCAGCACCCTACATGAGTGCTTGGGACAGAGCTGAAGCTGCCCATAAACATCTTTTGAATTTGTTTTGAAAGAACAGAATCAAATAGCAGCAGCTCCACCAATCCAAACTTGTTCGCAAACAAGCCAACAAAAATCTCATGGTCAACTGAATGACAGATCTAAAAAAAAAAAAAAAAAAATCAACAGGCATACTTTTAGACCAATCTAGTATAAGATGAAAACATCAACAACAACAAAAACAAAAAACCAAAAAAACCACCTGCAGGGCGGCCAGAGCGGCAGAGCAAAAAAAACCTGTGCAGGGCGGCCAGAGTGCGGGTGCTGGGGGGCTCCCGGCGCTGCAGACGTGCCCTGGGCAGCAGGGGGGAGATGGAGGGAGCCGGGGGAGAGAGACAGAAGGGGGGCGGCCAGGGCTTCCTTCAGCGGGGCGCTGGCCACTCGGCCCCTCCCGCCGCGCCGCCTTCTGGGAGGGTTCCGCGCTGCTTCGGTCAGTGGGCAGGGAAGGACGCGGGCTGCCCTGCCGGGCTTGCTACAGACCTGGCACCAGCTGGGGCAGATGGAGCGCGCAGCCCGCTCCCAGTAGGGCGCTCCCCTCCTCCTCACCGCCGCCCCCTACAGGGCGGCCAGAGCGGCGAACCAAAAAGAAAAAAGAAAAAAACCTGCTGGGTGGCCGAAGCGGCGAAGCAAAAAAAATAATAATAAAAGGATTCGAGGGAATGCCAGCCCTTAGAATCTGCCGCCCCAAGCACGAGCTTGCTCGGCTGGTGCCTGGAGCCGGTCCTGCTGGGAATCTTCTAGCTTGGAAGATTTGAGGGACAGAATACAACCCTGTTAAGCATTCTCCATCTTAATAACTGAGAGAGATTTCTTTTAAGTTGATCTACTGTAGCACTTAAATAGGGTTTCATCTCAGAGCTAAGTGAAAAAAAGAAATCCTTTTTCAAAATAGAAAAGTTGTCATTTTTATGTATTAAATATGAAAGTACGCTGCCAAATTCAGTTATTTGAAACTGACTTTTTTGGAAAAGTACTATGTTAGCCTATTGGAGTGGTCCCCAAACTTTTCAGGGTCATTCCCCTCCTTGTCCATGTCCATACCCATGCCTCCTGAAGCAACATTCAGGCTATGCGGACAGGGGTAAGGGGGCTGAGGCTGGGACCACAGCTGGGGGTAGGGTTGGGAGCAGAGCTGCGGCTGGGTTGCGGTACAGGCTGGCAGCTGGGTCTGCGGCTGGGTGTGGAGCTGTGGCTGAGGGCCAAGGCTGAGGATGGGAGCAGGGGCCATGGCTGGGGGCAGGGCCAGAGCAAAGCTGGGGCCAAAGCAGGGCTGGGTGGCGCTCCCTCCCCGCACCCTGTGGGGGCTGGCCTGGGCCCCGATGTGCCTGCCTGAATGTTCCTCTGTGTCCCCCTAGGGGTTACGCCCCACAGTTTGGGGACCAACCAGTCTACTGTCTCTTACGTATTTTAGCCACTGTTTTTTTATTTTGCTTTACTAATTTATTTTTTCCCTCATTTTGTTCTCCTTTAGTGGTGTTTATGTAGCTTGCTTGTGCCAGCAGGAAAATGTGAAGGTCCAACAGATCTAAACATGTACACACCTTCTCCCCTCTTTCGTAATAGCTACTCCTCTCTTTTGGTCACTCCTTTCCCTGCCAGTTCTGATGCTATAAGCTTTTTGGAGGGATCTAGGAAAGAGGAGACCCTTTCTTCTGACAGGCTTCTGCTCTTCTGTGGGCCTCTTGGAGAGGATCCTGGAAAATGAAGATTCCTTGACTGCAGTCTTCTCTGCATCATCCCCAGTCCATGGAAGGCCCAGGGAAGGAGCCACATCCTGAAGTCCAAGTGTCTCATCCATCACTGTCGCAAGGACCAACCCACTTTCTTCCTTCATTTTCTCACCAAGTGCCTCAAAAGGCTCAGATAGTAAGGGGGGGTGGGGGGAAGAGTGTCTCTCCCCCACTTATCATGCTTTGTCTTCCTGTCTTGGCTCTATGCACTTCTCCTCCACTTGCTTTCCTAGTTTCCTCAGGGATCCTTAGGAGTGAGGAGATACCCTCACAACTTCACTTCTGCTCCTTCTCCTTATGCAGGGGCCTGAAAATGGAACGTATACCAGGCTGCTCTTCCACTCCATTCCCAGGCTTCTGCTAGACTTTTCCATTAACAATATTAAAATTTCAGAAATTCATAAATTTAAAGTATTTCTAATTATGTATTTCAAACTCTGAAATAGCAACTGCTGCACTTTTACCCCACTATTGGAGTAGCTTCAGAAGACCACGTACAATTGATTACTAAAGCAGTACATAAGAATGCTTAAGTTATAACATTAATGCATGAGACCAGCAAATGAAATTCTCCATGGCTCCAACTCAGAAAAACACGTAAGCATGTACTTAACTTTAAGTATTTGACTAAGTGCTTTCCTGAATCCAGGTTGATAAGCAAAGTGAAGTCAACTGCAGATTAGTAAAAAATAACAACTTTCACATAAAAAGGTTATCTTTGATTAGCAATTATTATATGTAATTGGATCTATGTCAAAAAATACCTAAACATTTCCCATCAATACATACACTTCTGAAGTTTTTAAGAAATGCAATTTAGGAAGACAATCATACCAGAAGTAAAAGCACCGAGTAATGAAAACAGTTCTTACCTTTTTTAACAGTTTCTCATTTCTCAGTCTTTCACACACTATTGCTACTTCTGGGCTTGCTGGTTCAAGTACTGAATTTGCAGTCATCTTTCCTAGATTCCTCAACATTGCTGTAAGGGGCATCTCCTGCAACAATGCCTTCCACACCTGTTACAGTAGTATACGGAAGAGAGGTGGAGGGGGGGAGACAACATTTTAATTTGATGAGAGACTCTGTCTGGTGTATACACAAAACATCAAGCAAAATATGCAATGTATTTTAAAATGTCAGAATTATACAGAGGGCTTCATCATGTTAAATTAACTTATTTTTTTTAAAAAAGCTTCAAGAGTTCCATTTGGATAAAAATATATTTTCAGCAATCCAAAATTGTCAAGATAAACAAGACAACAAAATTTAAAAGGGCACTAGTTATTTGATACAAGATGTTAATATTTACATACACATACCCACCTCTTTAGATTTCAAATGGTTTGTCTGGAGATGCTCCCTAACTAACCTATACTCTTCTATCAAATGAATAACTTCCAATTCATCTTTCGTACGTTTCACTTTCTCCACAGCCTCCAGATATTTTAACAATTTTTCAGTCTCAGAAGAAAATTCCTTGTCTTTATATGCCTCTTGGACTTCCTTCCACCCCTTGGTGATATACTTAGTAACTACAGCAAGTCCTATTGAAAGACAAAAATATTTTCCATTCAGGATTATGACCCAGATATCAGAGAGTTTAGTAAGTCTGGCAAGAGAGTTGGTTAGAAGGATGCTTTTAACTATGGTTTCATACCCAAAACTGCTAGCCAGCTATCAATAGAGTGGGTCTAAGTTAGAACACTACAGTCAAATACATTAGGATGCACAATTCAGAATACTTTCCAAGATTTATTTTATTTACTGTATCATCTCCCTTTGGAAGGATGAAACTTAATACAAGTCGTCTTCTTTACAATGTTTTGTCCCCTACCTTACGCCACAGCAAGCACAGTGTTGTGAAAAATAAGGGGATAAAACTAGTCAGAACATACAATGAAAAGATGACTGTCAATCTGCTATGTATAAATATTTCAGTTACCCCAACACACTACAAAGCATTAAAGCATTTTGAAGTAATCTGCATTTTTTAACATATAAAAATAAATTATATCTGAGGAGAAACATAAAACTGTGACCAAAGGTCAAAAATAATGAGGAAACAACAGATCTGGTTGAATAATGAAAAAATAAATGTATATGCCAACTGATGGGGAAAAAAATCAACTAAATGATTTGTAAGAATTATTCAGCCATCTCTTGACAGCAGTCACAAAAAATAATGAAAGACCACATTTATTCTTAAAGAGTCAAGATAAACAGACCATATTTTCTAGCTATCAGCTTCTGTATTATTTCTAAAGTTTAACCTGAAGGATACATGGATGCTGAGAGACCACTATTCCATCAAGACCTTTAGACTTCTAGGACAGACATAGGCTAGAAATGAAAGGCTTAATGTAGTATCTGATATAGCATATTTTCTTAACTAATCCAGTCTCAAGGTCAATAAAACATTACTGTTACCTTCACTGGCAGGTTTTAGGTGGGACAACCTCAGTAGATCTTTATGAGACCAACCATTTCTTTGTTTATATTTTGTAACTGCTAAAGCAACCGCCAGGCCATTCTTTCCATTGTACCAGTCTGCAACAGCTTTTCTCAGGGCACGGCCCCACATGCCACACTTCATGCCCTCCTTCAGATCCTTTTTAAACTGGATGAAAGTAAACAGATGAGTTGGTATGCGGCAGACTTCAGAAACAGCCTTAAATGCTGCTTGTTTTGTTTTTGCATCAGAGCACTGTGAACAAATTGCAAGAGCAAAAAGCATGGGCTCCTGTTTTGCTGCCCTGCCTTCCTGGCTGAATGTCTTTATTTCCTGTACCACATCACAACCTTTACCATCTTCAATCAGTCTTATTAAAACTTCAGCATTTTCAAAGCCCAGTTTCTGCTCCTTGATGTAGTATGTACCACCTTCTGAACCAAAACATAAGAAACGGTGGAGTCGATTTATATCGGTGACCTGCCATACATATCCACCTTCAGAGTTCGGCACCTGCTTGTCATTCAAGGGCTGCATTTGATTTGCATCTTCATCCATTGCTTAGAGTTTCAGGAAGCCTGTTAAAAAAGAGAGTACAACTTTACTACAAATAAACGTTGAACTATGTTGGATTTTTTGGCTCGTAACATTTCCTCCTCTTACATCTGTAGCCAAATGAGTACATCATATCTGTAATGCCTGCTCCCCTTGCCTCTTCTAGATTTATATTAAACATACTCCAGAACAGCAATAACATAGTCCAGTAAATGCGTAAGTTACTAAAGAGCATCTTCAAAGAATATATTTAAAAATTGGGTTTATGCCCTTTTTGGCTTTGTTATAATATATAAATAAGTTGTGAAAAGGGTTTGCTTTAAGCAGGGATATCAAGTTTGGTTTTAATTTCCCCTGAATTTTCTGGTGGTCTCAAAGCATTTTTATTGTTAGCTCTAACAGCTTAATTGAAGGGGTAGAGGTACTCAATGTTTAAATACATCCTTTATCCAAAATGTTAGTCACTGAAGTTAAGTAAGTGTTGATTAAAAAAAAAAAAAAAGTCATAAGCAGTCGAACTAAAAATCCTTTTCTGAGTGATATCTAGTTCTCCAGGCAGGTAAGTCTTCCAGGGCAGTTAGGTCCTGAATTTCTGTGGGACAGATTGTACCTAAGACTAGCAAAATGATACTAAACTTTATGAAGGGGAATTTTTTAAATTCAAGCTAATTAAGAAGAGCCTTAATCCCAAAGATGAAAACGTAAATTCCTTAGAACCAGCATACAGGCTAGTTAAAGGTGACCTGCCAAGGGAAGGACAGTGTTTGTGCTCTGTCTGATGTTATAAAAATTATTATAAAGATTTTTTTTTTTAAATTAAAATTTATCAGATCTTGTCCCTCCCATTTTTTGCTGGAGGGCTGGATGACAACACTGCATTTGATAAAGGTAAGAGACCTGAGCAACTCAGAATGCAAGAGAATCCTAGACTTAAAAACAAAAACAAAAAAAAACTTTGTATTTTGTTTGTTTTGGTTATCATCTATTTAAATGAAACACCTGACAAATAACGAAGAAAAATGCCATCGTTAATAAAGATTCAAACACACTTGTCCTTTCAAATGAGAACTGAGAAAGCTCACAAGCAAAGAGAGAAAGAGAAACAAAATACATCCCAAGCCTTTCAGGTCTTGTTTACACACTGCTAGACAGAGAACAAACATAATATCATCTGTAGGCATACCATATTTTATTCCTATCCAAAATAAGACGCAAGGCCACAAAATTTATATGGTTAAAAGGTAAAAAGTTATTTTTTGAGAAGTAAAAATCCAGTTGTAGTGTAACCAAAAGAAAGAATCATACATCATAACAAATGAAACATAAGCTGGAAATTAGAAGGCCTAAGAGGAAATTTGAAGATATAGACCTTGCATGTTTTTATGTTTTGGGCTACTAAATATCAGAAAGAACAATCCTTTGAGTGTCAGATGATCTTCTAGATTACTAGGGAGTAAAAGGAGCAACAGAAAAGAATAAGTACATTAGCTTCTTTGCAAAGTACTTTGCTGCATCAATTTTAAGTACAGAAGATCACAGACCTATTCTTTTAGGAGTAAAAAAGATGAGGCACTGTCACATCCTGATCATGACTAGATCACACATTTTTACAGGTGTTAAATTGTATTACTGTTTAAAAGCATTTTAATTAAAAACATAATCAACATTTTTATTTATTAATTCTATTCCTACTTTGGATACAGACATCTCACAGATTGAAGAGAGTCAGTATTCTACCCCCTACATGTGATGAGATATACACACCCTATCCAGGAATTACAAGGGAAAGAATTAAACATTATTTGTCTCATTGTATCCCTATTCGGTTAGATTTTTTTTTTTTTTTGAAGCAATGAGGTGCCAGGAACTGGATTCAGAATGCTAATTTTATTCATCTTTTATTTTCAAATAAAATTTCCAAGAAGTATTTCTCACTGTGAGTTTTCAAAGGGTATGTCTACACTATGAGAGTAGTTCGATTTCACTTAAATCGAATATGTGGAATCGATATTGCAAAGTCGAACGTGTGTGTCCACACGAAGGACAGTAATTCGACTTTGTGAGTCCACACTAACGGGGAAAGCGTCGACATTGGAAGCGGTGCACTTTGGGCAGCTATCCCACAGTTCCCGCTGCCCATTGGAATTCTGGGTCGAGCCGCCAATGCCTTCTGGGTAAAAAAATGTGTCAAGGGTGCTTTTGGGTAACTGTCGTCATCCGTCCGTCACTACCGCCCTCCCTCTCTCCCTGAAAGTGCCGGCGGGAAATCAGTTTGCGCACTTTTCTGGTCAGTGACAGCGCAGACGCCACAGCACTGCGAGCATGGAGCCCGCTGCGACCATCGCTGCAGTTGTGTCCGTTGTCAACGCCTCGCAGCTTATCATCCACCTTTCCCAGAGGCAGATGCAGATAAATCAGGCGAGGAGGCTACGGCACCGTGGTGAGGGCCTGAAGTCTGAGAGTAGCACAGGCCTGTCAGAAAGCACGGGACCCAGCGCCGAGGACATCACGGTGACAATGGGTCATGTGGATGTTGTGGAACAGCGATTCTGGGCCCGGGAAACAAGCACGGACTGGTGGGACCGCATAGTGCTGCAGGTCTGGGATGAATCCCAGTGGCTGCGAAACTTTCGCATGCGGAAGGGGACTTCCCTGGAACTTTGTGAGTTGCTGTCCCCTGCCCTGAAGCGCAATGACACCCGGATGCGAGCAGCCCTGACTGTCCAGAAGCGAGTGGTCATAGCCCTCTGGAAGCTTGCAACGCCAGACAGCTACCGGTCAGTCGCGAACCACTTTGGCGTGGGCAAATCTACCGTGGGGGTTGTTGTCATGCAAGTAGCCAACGCAATCGTTGAGGTACTGCTCTCAAAGGTAGTGACCCTGGGAAACGCGCAGGTCATCATAGATGGCTTCGCCGCGATGGGATTCCCAAACTGCGGTGGGGCTATAGATGGAACTCACATCCCTATCCTGGGACCGGACCACCAGGCCAGCCAGTACATTAACAGAAAGGGCTACTTTTCAATGGTGCTGCAAGCACTGGTGGACCATCGGGGACGTTTTACAAACATCAATGTCGGATGGCCGGGCAAGGTTCATGACGCTCGCGTTTTCAGGAACTCTGGTCTGTTTAGACGGCTGCAGGAAGGTATTTACTTCCTGGACCAAAAAATAACTCTTGGGGATGTGGAGATGCCTACAGTGATCCTCGGGGACCCAGCCTACCCGCTAATGCCCTGGCTCATGAAGCCCTATACTGGCGCCCTGGACACTGAAAAAGAACTCTTCAACTACCGGCTGAGCAAGTGCAGAATGGTGGTGGAGTGTGCTTTTGGCCGTCTCAAGGGAAGATGGAGAAGCTTACTGACTCGCTGTGATCTCAGCAAAACCAATATCCCCATTGTTATAGCAGCTTGCTGTGTGCTCCACAATCTCTGTGAGAGCAAGGGGGAGACCTTTATGGCGGGGTGGGAGGTTGAGGCAAATAGCCTGGCTTCTGATTACGCCCAGCCAGACAGCCGGGAGGCTCTGAAAGCTGTGCATCCGGGAGGCTCTGAAAGCTAGGTTCCTGAGTGAGCAGGGTAACCTGTGACTTTTAAGTTTGCGTACAGAGAAGCTGAACCTGCCCCCCTTTCTTTACCCACTAAATGTTCAGTATCCTCTCCAGTTACATACCCCTTTCACCCCCTTCCAACACACCTTTAAAAATAAAATGACTTCTATTTTGTTAACGGACACCGTTTTCTTTATTACTGTTTTCGCGGGAATGTTTTAAACCTGGGACGCAGACTGTGGTGGGGAGCGGGTGTACTGTACTGATGCAAATGACGCTTCTAAACTCCAGGAATGACAGGCTCCGCAGTGGTGGACTGGTTGTTTCAACGGAGCCTGCCAGCCCTCCTGATCGGGACTGCGTGTATGTGGGGGCTATGTGACTTTGTGGCGGGGGAGGAGGGTTACAGATCCCCTGCTGCGTGGCTCTGTGATCCAGGATAAGGACCGCTGCATAAGATCTGTAACTGCCCTCCCCCGCCACAAAGTGACAGAGCAACCCCCCCCCCCCCCCCCAGATCAATAAGTACCTCTCCCAGACTGACCAGGGTAACTAGTCACTGCACTGTGTATGTGCCCTGCTGCTGGACCTGCCCCCGCCTGTGTACCCTGGTAAAGGTGACTGTCCTGTCCAATTACCAACCCTCTTCCCCCCCTTCAGACAGACTCTCCTCCAAAAGAACATGATGGAAACAGTAATTAACAGAAACATCCATTTTATTAGCAACTACACATGAAACTGGGGGGGTGAAACTTGGGCGGGGGCTTGTGTGAGGCGGGAAGGAAAGGACTTGTCAAATTTTGGGGAATGAGAGCCTTCTAGTAGTAGAGCAGTCTGCAGGGGTGGAGTGAGAGTTTTCACGGACTCTGCCGCCACTCCTTCTTTGGACTTTGGGTGAGGGGGGTATGGGACTTGGTGGCGGGGGAGGGCGATTACTGATAGACTGCAGCGGGGCTCTGTCCTCCTGCCTCCGTTCCTGCAGAACATCCACAAGGCGCCGGAGCGTGTTCGTTTGCTCCCTCATTAGTCCAAGCAGCGTTTGAGTCGCCTGCTGGTCTTCCTGCCGCCACCTCTCCTCACGTTCCATGTGTGTCCGGTGCATTTGGGACAAGTTCTCCCTCCACTGGGTCTGCTGTGCTGCCTGGGCTCGGGAGCAGCCCATTAGTTCCGAGAACATGTCCTCCCGCGTCCTCTTCTTCCTCCGCCTAATCTGCGCTAGCCTCTGGGAGTGTGATGCCAGGCTGTGTTGGGAGACAGTCGCAGATGTGGCTGTGGGAATGGGAAAAAGGGAGTGAATTCCTCAGAAAGAAATTTCGTTGTGAACGAAGAACATAGTCTTTCTCTGTGAACAAGACCATGCACTGTACCTATCACATGCGCACTCAAGACAAGGTCAAATTTTCGGCCCTCGCATTCAGTGCCTGGGGTCTTGCACTGCCGATTTGAGAAGCGGGGCAGGACACCGGAATT